CGGAGTCCAGAATCGTAACGGAGTGAGAAAGTTTGGACGATGAAGAGAGACGGCCGTCGGATTACGGTGGCGACGGCGGCAACTGGATACTTGGGAATTTGGGGGGCTAGGGAAGACGACGATACATGAAAAAACGGCATCGTTTTGTGCTCGTCTCTGAATCGAAAGTGTCCTGGAGAACGGCGTCGTTCTATAGGTGTAGCTGAAAACAAAAAAAAATTGTAATGGTATGAGGGTCGAACCAGAGTCCTAGTCATTACCATGGGCATTCTTCACCATTCATGCTGAACAAGGATTTTGATTCAATATACTTCCACTGTTATATTTATAATATAAAATGAGTTCTTGTAAAATTAAATCACAAAACTAACTAAGCAAGCCTTTTGTACCAGGCCCAATAGGGCTTAGTCGAGCAGATCGGCGGCTGCCCCTGCCCTCCCTTTGTCTCTTTAACAATAATCAATTGTAAAAAATAAAATAAAACAGAGAACAATAATGGCATAGTTGAAAATTGGAAGACTACTTACCTACCAAATCTAGCAAACGATTTATCTTCCACTTTTTCTCCCCTCCCCATGCGCTGCCTTCTCGGTTTTCCTTCAAACTGATCAGACACATACTCAACCGCCCTCATCCTCCCTCCGCCTCCGTTGCATGTCTCCGCCTCTGCCCGTCAAGCAACCGCTGGTCGCTAAGTAGCGGTCTCCTCCTCCGGGCCACCATCTTCGCCTGCCGCCTCCGCCGCTGATTCGCTGTAGCGGTTGTGGGAAGAAGAGCGGAGGAAAGTCGTCAGGACTAACCACGTCGGTTGTGGGAATAAGAGCGGCCACCTCCGTCGCTTGCAACCTCGTCGTTGATTCGTTCCCGATCTGCTCGACTAACCACGCGGTGTCGCTGGCCACGTTTCCACCGCCGCAGGTAATTTTCTTTAATTGATTGTTAACTATTTGGTACGTTCTATTAAAATAGTTGATCATAATGTGCTCTTATACTCCTGTTGAACATCCACAGTACGTGCAAGAACAAAAATTGAGTAGGGTTTCCGTGCTGTAATTTTCTGACAATGGATTATATATCGCAATGGTACCCGTAAGTATTGTTTACCGACTAATCGTTACGACAGTCTACTCCGCTTCCTATTCCTTCTGTCAGCCATTACTAACAGTTTTATTTATAGCGACTTTATGGTTGAGCCTGGTTTCGTTGCAAAGCTGAAGTATGAGGAAGCAGTATCTATGTCTATTTTGTCGGATTCAATCGAGCTTACATTGGTGCAAGAGAATGGTGACGATGAGGTTACTGAAATAAACTTTTTTTGTCATTCATCCTTCTCGATCGCGTTTGCAGTTATTGTGTTTGTTAATGCTTGTTAATTTTTTTTTTTTAAATTCCTTTTCTTGTTTTAAATACCAGGGCACTTCTTACCTCATCTCCGGACGTGTCGGCGAGGTGAAGACATCCTGGTGTGCTGAATGTAGAGTTCATTTGATCCACCTAACTATCGAGGATGATTATTTGGATCTTGAGGTTGTTTTCCCATCGACAAACTTGCGCAAAATCGTTTCAGATGTAGTAAGTGATAAAGATATGGCCAATGCCGATTTCGTTACCCTTATCAACTTGCTTGGTGGAAACTCTTATGAGTTTATGGTCGCATTGGGTCCTTGGAACAATGTGTCGAGTTATTTTGAGCTGTTATTGGTAAAATTATTTTTTCCTCCCGGAAACTGAATACCATTTCAGCAATGTAAATAGAATCTACTAAAGTTGCTTAGTGTTCGCCTTAATATTATTTCTCTTGTTATGAAAGTGTACTAAGTGTGTGAACACAATGCTTTTTTGTACGTTTTGTGCCCTTCTTAATGAATTGTTGGTTGTATCTTTCTAGACTTATCGAAACATTTCTCAATTACTTATAAACGGGATCAGTTGCCTAATGAAAAGTAACGAAAAAAATTCAGGTTAATTTGGTTCAAATTACTGTATCATCAACATACCACACCCCAATTCGACTATCCAAAATGCCATTATCTGTTCACCCAAGCTACCCCATAGCTAACCATTTATCTCACCAACAGCCATCAAAACCCAACAACCATCAAAACCATGGTTATCTCCAATTACTGCCCAGGGAAGACGATGAGACATGACAAACGTCGTCGTTTGTGCTTGCTGCTAAAGCGAGAGTATCCCCAGGACGACGTCGTTCCACAAGCGTAGCTGAAACATGATTACATGGATGTGGGTAAAAGAAATAAGACAATATGGAGAATCGAACAGGCAACCTTGCGATGATAATAGCAAATCTTAACCATCAATGCTGTACATGTATTTTGATAGTTTAAATGTACACGTTTTGCATACATATGTTGTAACAATTAAACATAATAACAAAAATAATTAAGGAAGTAAAGCAAAATAAAAGAAGACGACGACAATTTTTGTATAGAAGTCAATGGCTTTACCGTGACTATATTATATGAAAAAGCTATCTACATGTGCATACCATGCATTTGGACAATAAACCTTCCATACTACTTGTAGACACCAGTTTTTGTCCTGGTTAAAACATTTTTAATAAAATGTTAATTAGTTTCAATTTAAGGTTTGCAATAGCAAATCTTTAATGGCCTTCTAACTAAAACGTATTTGTAGTGTTTGGGAAATGTATTGGTTATCATAACTGAATAAGATTAGCAATAGCAAATCTTATTTGGTACAATTTGGATTATTGAGATTAGCAATAGCAAATCTTAATCGATACAATTTGATAGTGAGGGCATGCTTCAGTTAGACGATCCAGTTTTAAATCGAAGGAGTTAGGCTATGGAATGAATACTTGTATGATTCTCTACCGTAGATCTAATCTAACGGTCATTATAAATTATAGGCAAAATACACTTGCATAGCCAAAACTTTCACCTTTGTGCCACTTATAGCCACATTTGGCGAAATACCACTAATAGCCACTTTTGAAAGATGTTGCGTAGGGGTGTACATGGGTCGGGTGGTCCGGGTTTAGCCATTTTATCACCCATCCCATGCACTACGGTTTGGAAAATATCAAACCCTAACCCACCCAAAAAAATTTAAACCCTACGGTTTGTTTCTAATTGGGTTGGGTCGGGTTGGCGATATTTTTAAGTAAAAACCCAACCCAACATAAAATATATTATTATTCTACATCATAAAAATATTTTATAACTAATTAAAATTTCAAAAGAATAAACCGTGGTGAAAGGTACCAAAATTCACAAATGTTGTTTGAATTTTAATAAAATGTGATTTACTTCAAAATACGTCTAGTTTTTTTACGATATTTGTTGAAATAGGCTAAAAAGGTTATAAACAAACGCACCCACAATATGTTATTCTATTAAAATTGTACACAAGAAAAACGATTACGTGAATCATAACTATATTCAATTTATGTCTATACTTTAAGTCGAATAATGCATTAGATTAGGGAGACCAAGAAAGAAAACCATGGAGAAATATCTTAATTTTCTCATAAATATGGCTATATACGACATAAATATTTTTTAGATACGAACTCATACTAATAGTTGGAACACGGGTTGGGTCGGGTTCTACGGGTTGTGTAATCCAAAATCCAAACCCAACCCAAAAGAGGCGGGTTGTACAAAACAAAACCCTCACCCAACCCAAAATCTTTGTTTTAGCGATAAATACGGGTGGGTTGGGTCGGTTTGGACGGGTGGGTCGGTTTGCGGGTATGTTTGTTCACCCCTAATGTTGCGTGCCAGACATAGCCATTTTCGTTAGAAACTATGACGACGTTAATAACTCCGTCAACTTATTTAACGGTTCGCTGACGAGGCGCCAAATCATCAACCACGTCAGCGACAACAAAGCAAAAATTGACACGTCATCTTAATAATTTATTTATTATTAAAAAAATTTAAAACTTTCCCCATCTACCTGATTGCACGAGGCTACCAAAAATCCCCATCTATTTCCAGAAAATGAAATTAGGGCTTCCTTCTTCTCCATCTCTTTCTAGAAAACGAAATTAGGGTTCTTCCCAAATTTCCTCTTCCCCACGAAGGAGATACACGAACCTGATCGATGCTTACTCCTCTTCCCCAAATCTTCTTCTAGTTTCTGAACGACTCGGCGCTTCTTCCTTCTTCCCCAAATCCCACTTCTTCGCGACCCCAAAATCGCGATTTCTCCTAGCCAGAACTTCACGCGAAGGTCAGCCATGTCCAAGCGAGCATCTTCCTCAACTTCGACTAGCATCAATAGCCAAGGGGCGATACTCTGTTGGCACAAGAAGCCATGTGTGGTGAATACATCTGGAACCGAAGCGAACCCAGGAAGACAGTTCTATGGGTGTCCATTTTGGATGGTAAGGTGTTTAGATATGGGTTTTGAAATTGTCATTGATGTGGGTTCTAAGTTAAATGCTCGTATGGTGCAGGACGAGAAGAAGAACTGTTGTTTTTTTAGGTGGGTGCGAATGAATGTCGATGAAGATAAGCACCATGACTCTGAAATTGGGTGTTCGACTTTGAATATTGAAGAAAGTTTGAGGCTAGCTGAGTGTAAGGCGGAAAGGAGGAAGAAGGAGAAGAAACTTTTGGCTGAAGAGCTATCAAGATGGATGAAGGCACATGAAATTATGCTAGCTGAAGGAAGGAGAGTTAATCATGAAATCCATGTAATTCGAGCTTTATTGATAGTGATTGTCGTACTGAACCTAATATTGGTTATTCTTATGTTGCATCACGTTATTATATGGTAGGAAATTAATCGACATTGGTATGAGAAGCAAAAGGTTTCTGAAAACGTAGTTGTCATCCTAAATGTTGTGTAGAAGCAATTGGTATTTGTGTTCTTAATGTAGTTGTGTTCTTAATACTTGTTACACTATATTGATTTAGAAAATGCCACACATTTGTCAATTAAGGCTGGGTACATAATTTGGTTTGTCTTTAGGGTACGTTTAAAATCAGGGATAAAATGTTGGAATTCCGTTAATATGTTTTATAGGGTATGTGATTGTATTTCCCGCCGGTGTGCTCCGCAGTAATAGCCCCTTCCCACCAGCCGTCGCTGTGGAAGGCCTCCACTTCGTCGCCGAACTTGAACTGGACCTTCTTCTTCTTCTCAGGAGGCGGCGGCGGCGGACGCAATTGGATCCAATCGAGGGTTTCTTGCAACAGCTTCTCCCCAGATTCGTCCTCGTAGAGCTGGTCGTACTCGACTACGTAGCGATTAGGGTTCTTCGCCTCGCGGCGGATGACGGTGCCGGCAAACCAGGAGCCACAGAACCCGGGGTCGTCGGAGCTGACCTCGACCCGGTCGCCCGGTTTGAATTGGGTGATCCACGAAGAAGATGGGTTCGACTTCGACATTTGCAGAATTGCAGGTGAAGACACGGATGGAAGCGGGGGGATTTTGAGAATTTTGGCGGATATGAGAATATGCTCTACATCAATTTGAACCACAAAGAGAAAGGGAATGGGTAAAACTCCTAAGAGCATTAATATATTGCGGTAGAAAAAATGAAAGATTTAACTCTTTAACAAAGAAATTGATCACCTCGAGCTGCAAAAAAAAAATAGCCAATCACGACCCCTTGGCATCCGCACAGAACTGGAAAAGACTCTGTTCTACTAATCTACCTGATAAAGTACCTTGGTTCCCTCGCTACTTTATTGAGCCACCTCCAGTCTCCTCAAGTGGGATACCTCAGCAACTGAATGGTACATGAATCCTCCCACTTTTTTTTTTGACAATAAGGCAGCTTACATTGCACTTCAGAAATATTCGGTTACAAAGAGGGAACCCAACATAAATCCTCCCACTCACATGGCCTTAGATACACAAAGATCAAGGGTGAACCCAACATAAATCACAAGGGTTGCGTATGAGTACAGTTTACCCAACATTTTACCAAATTGTGTTGCAAAAAATAATTATTATAATATATAATTAATAAAATAATATATTAAAGAATTAAAAAGAGATGAACCCAAATTTCAACTAAACCGTGTAAAAACATTGGGAAGGAGAAGATATGCCGTGATTTTAGTTGCACCAAATTTTATCTCTTATTTACTTAACAAATTAATAAGTTTCCTTCTCAAATTAAAACTCTAGCACATCCCTTTATATTCTACTAATACACATCCATTCCCCTTTCTACGCCACTAAGACCACCTTCAGTGGTGTTTTAGAATTCCAAAAGGTCCATTTAATGTAATTATTGGTTCCAAAAATGGAACACAAGTGGACAAAAGTTCTTTGAACCCGAACGGCTCTTTGTTTCAAAATTTTCTTATAAATAGTTAAATACACTTCAATACGTCATATTTACAAATAATGTGTTTTTTTCGGAATTCAAAAAAAATTATCGAAATGTTCGTCTTTATTAATTATTACTACCTATATAAAAATAATGAACAAATTTTGTAATTAAAATGATGAAATATACACAAAATTGGATTATGAGTTAAAATGCATATCTGGAAATGTAAACATTTGGAACTCATTACTAATGCCAAAACACCTTTTGATGGGCTAGATTTTGAATTATAGCCCCAAAATCTGGACTTTTGGATTCAACCACTAAAGATGGTCTAAGGCAGAAAATACCAATCAATATAAAAAACCCTTTGCTTTTCATTCTAGTTCTACCACTATTGTCGTAGACTCGTAGTTTCTTCCTTCATTCCAATTGCATCCTGCAATTTCTTTCGAATTGTTAAATTCCTCTGCCTCTACCATTATCAAAAAATATCAATCGACCTCTAAATGTTGTTCTCTCTTACATTTACAGCTGACTGTCGTTGTCCGTCTCTCCGAGTACTACCGAGTAACCTATAAGCTCGTCTCCAAGATGCTACACATCTCTTGCGAGAGTTTTGGAGTATGGTGCTTAACCCGTTAATTTCTAGATTCTTGTATATTTATACATACGATTAGATTGATTCAATACTTACACCCTTATTTTTGTATTTTGACAACAATGCCCACCCGTGCTTACGCCATATACAAAAAAGAGCAACAAAAAGACAGTCGAATAACTATGAGTTAGATGAGACACACTCGCAATCTGAATCTCCTTAATGATGAATATGATATCGGATTAGACCCAAGTTGAAAAAATTTGAAACTATGCTAAAAGGATAATTTTTTGTAAATCAATTCTGCTGCCAAGCATGTAATTATTTGTGACAACTAGACATCGAAAAGTGTATTTTGTGTCAGAAATATTACCACAATTGACATTATTTGTGACAAATATACATGTCACTATGAACGTCTTATTTATAGGTGCCTCCTACTTTTGGCGTAGATGGTGTGCTCGTAATAAAATAAAAATAATACATTACCTCCCAGACAACCCGAGTGCCATGGGTGGATGGCTACAAGCAAACACATATCAAAATAAAATTAGAAATAAAATAAATTGATTTACCTAGTGTCTTTCTACTAAGCCGTATGTGGAAGATGGGGAAATGTTATTGTGATGGCAATAATCAAAATTGCCTGCTCCACATCTCTTCTCATCAGGGCACGTGTAGTAGTGTAGGTAGTGATGAATTGAGATTCTTTTTGTGGCCAACTCTCTTGCTAAAATCCAACTAATTGAGAGTAAATAACACACCCATCCACCTTGCCTTTTGTATGTGGAGGCATGGGAAAGTGATCTTTTTAATTCATGTGTATGTGGTAAATGGTGGGTGGTAGAATTTCCACCTCATTTTTGCCTAAGGCCACGTTGGTGTTGTCTCATCCATCTTTCTCCACCTCTTATCCAAGTTAAAAGGGTTGGATAAGTTTCCTGATTGGTGGTTTGAGTAAGGAATAGTACAGGTAAGGGTTCCATTACCATCCATCAACTAATTGCTCTTAATAATTCGTACACATGGAAAATGGCAGGTGATGATGTGTTAATACATCATTTGGTTGGAGGTAAGCAAATAGAAATCGTCATCCACATGGGTTTAGCTTTAAGAAACCATTCCATGGATGCAATTTGGTTTGATGGGGTTATTTTGGAGGGGAGAGCACCCAAACCCAATGTTTTAACCAATAGTAGATACCAACACCATTAACTTACACATATATATGATTTTATCATTATTCTCCTTTTGATCACCTAAAAATGGTTTGTGACGGTTGTGTGATATTGGTTGAATATTGGGTCTATAAGTTATATACGAAATTAATTTCATATTTTAATATTGAAACTATGATAAATTTTATTTGTGGTGAATTGAAAAAAGTAATAACCATCCATTCTCTAATTTTTCATTACAAAAAATGTGTAAAAAAAAGTGTACATAATGGTAGTGGCAAAATGCAACGTAAAAAGAAAATTCAAAATTGTTAAAATTTGGCTTTTACCTTCTCAGAATAGCGCTTTTTTTTTGCCAAAAATTTGCGTGTCTTTTGAATTCGTCCCCCAGAAAAGTTTCCTTCATTCTGACCCCCCATTCTCATTCTATCTTGCATGTCGTCAATCTGAGAGAGAGAGAGAGAGAGAGAGAGAGAGAGAGAGAGAGGCGATGGCGGTTCCGCGTTTCTGCCGACGAGAAGAGAGAAAGAGAGAGTTGACGATTCCAATCATTCCATCGACTGGCGACGGCGGTTCCGCGTAGCTGGCGATGAGTTGCTTGGTTGATGAAACCTGGTGGATTTGGGGATGTTCCTATCGGTTGTGTTAGGCGAAGATGCTCCCACTGGAAGATAAAGAGTTAGTGAAATCTCGCGTTTCCTTCTCCTTTTCCTTCCCCGAATTTTTGGTTTTCGTTTTCAGTTCTTTGATTTCCTCTTTGTTTGGCACGAGATGCATACAAAACAAATCTGGATTGGTAAGAGCGGCAACTATGGTCTCATTCCCTCGGATTAAAAAGGCCCCCTAAGGAACGATTGCAGGTAGTTGCTATGCAAGTTTTCATTTCGTTTCTTTGAGTTCCTATAAAAATCAGGACATGACTGGACACTGCCCAATTACCGAGTTCAAACTTTGGGTTTCTGAACTCGTTTCTTTTATTTCATTTTGTTTTCATGTTGATTTGAGGCTTGCGAATCGGGGGAGGAGGAGGAACTTGAAGGAACTTCGAGGAGTTAAGGTGCTTCGAGGAGGCCATGAATGGGAGCAGCACAAGCAGGGTACTGGGCATCGAAAACAGGTATCTAAGCCTCGAGTGTTTGTTGACAGATCTGGCCTTTGTTGATAGATGGGTTCTAAACAGAACATAAAAATAATCTAAATAGAACATAAAAGTCATCTAAATAGATCAGAGCTACTTCGTTCAGTTCTCGCGGCAGATTTAGTAGGGTAAGCCCTTACTAGACCAAGTCTTGTAGCACTCTCCTGTAACCTCCTAAATTGCTGATGTTTTTGCCGAGGAATATCATTTTTATTTCTTGTCCTTATCTTGTCTCGGTTGTCTTTTAGTCCTTGTTAGCACACTGACGATTTGTTTGTCTTCTTTGTATGTTCAGTTTCCAATAGGGATAGATTCAGAAAGGGTTATATCAGCGCTTAAGCTCCCTAAGGTGCAGGAGCACATAAAAGAACTGACGAAAGGTTTCGTGGCCGTAAGGTTTAATCTGAATTTAACCTCCATATGCTGTTTTACTTGCTTAAGAGAAAGCAACCTACTGATTAAAGTCACTGGCTTAGTTTCTTCATTCTTGAATGTAAGTGTCCTACTCTTTAATAGGTGATGCTAGGGGTTGATCGTCTCGATATGATTAAAGGAATACCACAGAAGATACTTGCATTTGAGAAGTTTCTTGAGGAGAACCCTCTATGGCGTGATAAAGTTGTTCTGCTGCAAATTGTTGTGCCAACAAGAACTGATGTTCCTGAATGTAAGCTTCCTAGTTATCTTGATTCATACAGCAAAAAGAAAACATGCCTTATTCTTGTTTGGAGTATTCATTTGAAGTACTAATAAATTATATTTGTCACATGTGTACAGATCAGAAACTTACAAGTCAGGTTCATGAAATCGTTGGGCGCATTAATGGGCGATTTGGGACACTAACTGCTGTTCCAATACATCACCTGGTTTGTTACTGTCAACTTAACTCATCTTCTTTCCATATGTTTTGTAAGCTGCTAGTGGAAACAATGGAAGCTGTTTCCGGTCTTTCCATGTAATATCGTGATTAGTTCTTTTACGTAAATTTGGTCACCAGACGGCTGGTGATTGTATCCTGAAATAGACTTCTGTTAATGCATGATCGGTCCTTGGATTTTCTTGGCCTGTGTGCATTATATGCTGTTAGTGGTACAATGTTCTTTTGATGTGTAATTTAACTGCAACTTTTTCCGAGTTCAATTGAAATTGTCGACTCTGTTTCTTGCATGGTTGTTTAAAGTCATAGACGT